TCTGGCACTGCGGGATTTGATTCCCTGCCGTTGTAGTGTGTTACTGATGGTGACCTTTGTTACTTTGGTCCCAGCTCTCTGCAGGTCATTTTGCCCCACTGTATGTACTGCCTGGCTCCCTCAACAAAAGGGGGGGAAAAGTCATAGTCTAAAAATGAATTGGGCAACTTTTAGCTTTTATAACGACACACATTTACTGTGGTATCATTTCGATCGGGTTAAGTAATGCAACATTTAGTTTTGTCCAAAGTTGGATTCATTTTTTTAACTTGTATGGATGATGAGAGAGTCGGACCGCTGTGTGAAGTCTTCCCCAGCATATCCCAAAGATTCTCACTCGGGTTAAGATGTGGATGAGTGTGAAAATGATGTGTCACGCTGCCTGAACCACTCTTTCACAATTTGAGCCTCATGAATACTGGCATTGTCATCTCAGAATATACTGTACTATCAGAGAGATGAAAAAACAAAATCTGCTGATGAAAACAAATTTAGTCATTCAATAGATTCAGGTAGTCAGCTGACTCTGGACCTAAATCCCAAATCCACAAGCTTGTAATGTAGGCACTAGTCTTGATCGGTGCATCACTTCATCCACATGTCTTCCTACCAGGTTCATTGGCATTGAGTACTACACCATCTGAGAAACTATGATATAACAGTCTTTTCTAATTCTGTTTTACTAGTATTAAGCACAGGCGTATAGACGAGTTTGTCCTTAAAAGAGGCTCGTGCACCTCTCAAATGGCCACATGGTATCAGCTGCAGCTGAGATCATCATCTCAAAAACAAGAGCAAGCCTCACTCCAGATCATGTCCACTGCAATCATGAATTCATGAACCGAATCATCTGTAAACTTGGGAAACTGTTTTTTTGGACTGGAAAACAAACTTTTTAATTTAATTCGAAGCTTTATTTGAACATATAGACTGAAGCCAATTTTAGTTTTGTTTAGTTTAGTGGAGATAAGAGTTATAATCATTGGCTAATTGACTAATCAAAGAAATTGGCAGATTAGTCAACTACCAAAATAATCTTTAGTTGCAGCCCTGCTAATTAGCATTACTACTGAGTAGTTATTTTAAGGCTACACAGCTGTTCAGTTATAACTCCTTGAGTTCTCTTTGCATTGTGGGAAAATGCTTTTACTTTCACTATTAAAACATAGCTGTCTATTCCACTGCTGTTTTTCCCCCCATTGATCTTCAAACATTCAGGATTTATTCAAACCACACTTTTTTCTCCAAGATGGTGGTTCACCACTATCCTTCCAGTTTTTAACAAAGCGTTGCACAGGTTTTAACCCACTTTTAGGAGTTTAAGCAGTATCCTTGGTTGTTTTCTTTGTTTGCCAATAACGTGATCCAACATTTCCTAACAAATTTCCATAACAACAGGATGTCTTCTAACATGGGGTAAATAACCCCATGTTGAAACTCACAAATGACTGTCGTTTGAGCCAGGCAGCATTAAAAAAAAAAAAAAAAAAAACTGTATAAAAGTATGAGAACAAAAACTTTAAAGAAGTTAACATCTTCTGGTTCTTTTCTACTTTTTTAAAAAACATTTGCCTGTCCTGTTGATATCGATCCACTAATTAAGGCAGACTAAATGTGATTTGTTGCTCTCCTAATGGTGTGTGCATATATATTTTCATGCAGGAAAACTCCTGCATCCTCCTGTTCCTCTCTCCTGTGAATATAGGTACATTTACATAGCTCCACTATTCTGTCTGTGCAACTGCACTATTAGCAATTAACATCAGAGTTAGCTACATGGATCCAGTGCAACATTTAATTTTACCAAATCAATCCACCCAACCCACCCCAGCGCAAGATCTACCAGTTTTCCTGGGGAAACCCTGTGCTTGAATTCATATATAATAACAGCAAGTCTCTACTGATTCAAAAAGTGCAAATCTTCAACTCACAGTAAGATCATAAGAGGGGGATTGCCTTACCTCATCACTAACCAGCACATGGATGCCAGTAGGGCCTTGTTTAAAGATCTGATTGATCTGCCTAGGTGAGATGCTGAACAGATGAGCAATTTTCTCTGTCAGTTCTGTAACCGTGAGTTCCTCCAGGTAAATGGCGTGATATACTGCAGAGAGAGAAACAGAAAGGTTAACACAAGCTAAACAACAAAGGATGCTCACTAGATATTAGGCATGCTCAATTATAGCAAAACTAAATCATAATTGTTGCTTAGACTTCAGAAGAATAATAGTGCGGGGCTATTTCCTGGCTGGGCACCTGTGAATGGTTTAGATCCTTAATATTAGGCTACAGTCACTACAGTAGACTAGAATAACAGTGGACAGACTGCTACATGACCAAAAGTTTTGTCACCACGTGCAATCAACTTGTTATCAGCCTGCTTATGGAAATGGTCATTTTGAACATTTTGAACAGACAGACCAGGTTTGAGATCACTGTGTTAGCATTCTGTCTGCATTTAAAATTTAGACAACAATTTTTTGCACATCCTTGCCAATCTTTAGAGACTCTCCAGTCAGTATGAGTCCGACAAAGATGGTTTGGAAGAAGGCCTCCTCCCACCTGGCAACATTTCCATTTGCCTTGAATTAAAGTGGTCAACAGTTGGTTGTGACAACTACTTGCAACAGTCCCAGACATAAAAAATTTTTTTAATGCAATCACTCGCCAACCACCAGTTTTTCCTGTTTACAAGGAGGTTGCAATCCTAGCTTTACTCTAGTGTGACTGAGGCCCCTCAAAATAAAAATTTAAAAAAGAGAATAAGAAAAACTTTATTAACCCCAAAGGGAAATTCATTAGATTAAAAAAAACGTTTGGACGTCAACAAAGATAATGATTAAATTAACATAAATTAAATGAACATACACTGACCAAAGAAAGCGCTGGCAGCAGCATCTCCATTTTCATGTTTCGGATGCTGTTCCCGTGCCTGCTGAGATTCCTGGCAAACATAGATGGTGAGTCTTGGACGTACCACCCTGAATTCAAAGAGAGAAACAACTAAAATGCAGATGCCTAAAAACATTCACTCTCTTTTTTTTTTATAAATTAGGTAAATTATATATCCTAAGAAGGTAGGAAAATTTAATATAACCCACCGTCCTTTAAGTGCATTGAAGAGTCTTATACCATCAGCTGGCCCACAGATCTGAATAACATCCTCCCTGGTCAGCTTCAACAGGTCTACCCCTGGTACACAAAAGCAGATCCTATTCTCAGTCTCTACAAACACACGGTTGCTTTTACATAATTAGTTTTTAAATCTATGAATTATGATTCAAATTTGTCTTGTCATCTTTTACCTGATTTTAATTCTCATGTCTCCTTCAGTAAAACACTCTGAATAACCTCTGGATATAACAAGGTGCTACTTAAATAAATGAGTACATTTCCAGAAAATATCTTTCTAGTTTCACATTAAAGTGCAGCCTTTTATCTTATGATACGGCCAAAGAGGTAACCATATTACCTGAGAAGTTAGTGAAGAGTCGACAGAAAGGGGAGAAGCGGTTTCTATGAAGCCACTGTTGTGCATCCTGTGGTGTTGCTGTTGGTAACAAATTCTGAAAAAGAAAAAAGAATTCATCAAAATACTCTGACATAAGCAACCGTGTCAGAGACCATGTCACCATGGTTACCCCATCAAGTCAATTTGTAAAACATAAAAAATATTAAAATTGTAAACACACATCAATGAAGATTATCAAGAGCTGCTGGATTTTACCTTAAAAGGCAGGATTTTAGAGACAGGTAAAACTCGTTTCAAAAACTATTTAGATATAAGCACGATGAGCTACATCATATCTGAATCTGACATATATATGACTCAAATCAGATATATATCAAATGCTTTCTAGTTACACACTGAGTCATATTTTATACTTGCTAATGAATCTCATCCCAGGCAGAAGTTTAACACCCAGATGTCAGCTTTGCATTTGAGCTTATTAAAATGCAGTTGCTTGGTGTGGCAGGAGGTAAGCAGCCGGTAAAATAAATCCAAATAAATCCACAAACTAAAAATGAACTTACATCTGCCACCTGAACAACAGGCTCAGGCTGGTGGTTTGGTGACCCGTTTCTACAAAGGATGAAAAATTTATCAGTTAGAAAGAAGCAATAACAACAAACTCCACATTAAGAAAAACGTAGACCTCATGTGTTGCCCTTACTAAACAAATAAGGCCACTACATGGATTTCATAGTGATTTTTAAAGTAATCCAGGCAGCATACCCTTCAGCCACTGGAAAGCTGTTGTGGGTGCTATTGAAGCCAGGAGATGGGGAGTTGTTGACATATGTGACCTCAGGCCAGGGAGAGCACTATAAAAGACCCAACATTTGTGTTACTGTAGCATCTACATACATCACCAGTATTTTTGCTGCCAGTAGATTTGATCTTAGGTTTCAATTAAACTGAATTTGAGCCAAACTCCTTAAGTGCTTAGGAAAATGGATTTAAAAGATGGATGATTCCACATCATTTGTGTCTCGCTGTGTCTGTGTCTCTTCCGCAAGTGTCAAATCACCTGTTATTTCCTAGTAAATACTTTTTAAATTCTGAGGTTAAAATGACAAGCTCATTAGTCACTTCAAGAAAAAAAAAAACTAAGAGTTATTTCTTTTGATAACCGATTTATCACAAAAACATTCTCTGGTTATGCTTAGAAAAAATGTTTTGTTACTTTTTTTAAAATAAGTACATAATATAGTTTGACAGTAGGCTAACATCAGCAGTCTAGTTAATTAGATTAAGTTAAAATTCATTTTGATTTCCTTTAAACTACTTTTATCCAAGCAGTGATTACTGCTTTGAGCTCTTATATGCTTACCTCTGTCAGGATTGTGGTTTCATAGGAAGGCTGGTACTTTTCCTTTTCCTGTGGCGCCCTCTTCTCCATCTTCTCCCTGTCTGTCTTCTGCTTTCTGTCTGCACCTTTAGGCTAGAACACGTCAAGTGGAGGAAATAAAGATGGTGAATATGGACAGTACTACCACAGGGACCAAATACAACATTTGCACTGGGGTGCATTATAGATTTTATTTCAGATTTTCTCTTTTTCCATGTCATTCCTCTGACCTTGAAGACTTTGACCTGACAGGAGGCAGAGTGAAGATGTTCTGTGTACTCTCCATTCTCGTTCTCCTTAAACGTGTCAATCTGGATGCGGAAAGGCACGCCCTTTTCTCCGCCATGCTTCCGCATGGTGAATTCTGTGCTAATGCAGTGAACCTAAAAAGGAAAGGAATATGAAAACAAAATCTACACAAGACTGATGACCTAACTGTAATATCAACAAATCATGCCAAAAGTGTTACATTAGTAAGTGCAGACTGACATTCAGTTTACTTGTGCAATAAATGAGTAAACCAAATGTAAATAGGCTCATCTCCGTCACGCCAAAGCACTCTAAACTGCCTCATATCACTATTGTTCATTTTAATTTAATAATACAGAGAATAAGAATTAATGACACAATCATTACTATGTGTTGCCCATCAAGCTACCTGGATAAAAACTGAGGTTCGTTTTGATGGGTCCCAAAGGAACTCCACCGTGTTAAGCTGAGTGGGGTTAGCCCTGGGGTCAATTATCCCCACTGACATCGGGATATCTGCAATGGATCAAAGCAAAACAAGCAGTTATCAAAGATGCTTTTGATATACACCATCTTCTCGTTATTGCAACCATGAGTATGAATTTCCGGTTTTGGTTAACAGTTGGTATCCTGAATTTACTTTCTGCAAAAACTATTTCATTGTTAGCACACATACAGGGCTACACAGCAACCACCTTGCAAAGCACAAATTCAGTATAATAAATACCTGATGTTTCTGTTAGCTTTTTAAAAATATTTTTTAATGCTCACCCAGGTCGAGAATGCGATCCCCTGGCCTGTTCCAGCGCCAGCCTTCCAGCTGCTGGTGCTCTGTGTATTGAAGTCGTCGGTCATGAAACACCACACGAATTATGCTCTGAAATTCAGAGAAAGTAATTTTTACTGAAGGATTAAAGAGAACATACACTATCGTTACCCTGGTACCCCAGGACAAGGGCTTAGTTCAGCCTTGCAATAAAGCGATGTGATTAGCTTGCCTAACTACTACACAATATAAGATTCTAAGCAATTTCCAAAAGGCTGGTGTGAAGGAGATTCATCCAGATGTGGTCTTTGTCCCAAAACCTTTCCCTAGTGGCCATTTCATTTCCCATAAACACTTCAGCAATAAACAATAAAACAGATCTTAGCTGTTAGACTGTTTTTAATCTCTAGGTATAGTTTTAATGCTAAGAAAATGCCTTTGAGACTTTTGAGACTACAGACAACTGGCTGAGAAGTTGGCTGAGACACACACAATCTGTATTTTACACCACTGAAGAGATGCTTCTGACACACTGAAGAAACCTTCAAAGTAAAAGTTGATTAAAATTCATATTACACTGAATATAAGAAATGTAATCACACAAAAATGAATCATCCATTAATTTCATCTAACCCTGGAGTTACTTATTCCATTCTACTCACAGCCCCCTGGGATTTTGTGAAGCATGTCTGGATGCAAGATGAGCCGTTGGCTGGAGCTTTTCCAATAATATTTATACAGGTTTACACTAGCAGCTGCTGGATTATGCAAATATATTTTTAAAGATTTTCTTACCTTCACCATTTTGCCGGTGATTTCTGGAAGTTCCCCAATTTTCCGATTGTCAAGCATTCTAATTTCATAGGATTGCCCTGCAATGACAAGTCCACATAAAAAATAAATACATATGTAGGCAGCTGAATTTTCTCTCAGCAGCTTTTGACTTTGAACTCTTAGATATCATTAAATTTGCACAAAGTTGAAAAGTACACAGCAGCTGGGATCCTGATGCTGACCTTGGTTGAGGTAGGTGAGTGTTTCATCATGCAGTTTAACGGCTGGCGAGGTAGGTGCACACAGAACATACTGAAAGGGTAGGATCTTGTTGTCACTGTCCGGTGGGAGGTTGGACTCCTCCTGTTTGAAAATGGGAAGGGCAAGTACATCGCTGCAGAGACAAAAGAAAAACAAACTCGGTAAGCCGCCAAATTCTTATCACTTCATTATGCAATACAGAACATCTTTTATTAAAACAGGGCTTCTTTCAAAGATTTTACAGAAAACCAGTCTAAACACTTATACTTACTGATTCGATACGACCTTCAGCCTCATGATACAAAAGGTCTCCCTGTCATTACTAGACAACACTTAAAACTAGCTGGAGAATTATGGTGTTCTCTAGCTTCACAGCTCAGTAACTACAATGGAGGCAACACTACCAAATACCAAGGTATCCAGTCTACATGTCACTGTTCCTCTCCACACAAGAATTTCTGAAACAAGCCACCACTTTCAACAGTTTTAATGAGCCAGAAAAGCATACAAAAACAGATGGGGGTTGGTGCAAAGTACTTCAATCAGCAAAAAATATTTTCTTTAAACTTTTAGATGAGCTACAGAAAATGAAAAAGCACAGAAGTGTCTGCAGATAATTACACTAATGAATTCAGGATATGCTACAGAGTGATAAGATAGATCAAATGCCCCAGGGAACTATTTTCTTCAAAGACTATTAGACTCCAGCTAATATTCTCCAAGTAGTGTTTTGGCTTTTCACTTTATCTGCACATGGCATTTAATTCGCACGTCTGCCAGCATGAAGACATTTTGCCACTCAAACTGCCCACGTAGCAGTCAGAAAATGGGAAACACTGCACATAATGGATGCACCTAATCACTCATCTTTAAATTACGCAAAATGTCCAAATGAATTTGACATGAGCAGCTGTCTGAAGACAAACTACAAGATAGCTTACATCTTTAAAAAAAAAAAAAAGAAACCAAAACACTGTTCAACAGTGTTTAATCTAATAAATTACCATATGGCCCATTATAAATGTAGCACTGGCTGCATTTAGTAAAAGGCCTTACCCGTCCAAAATTCATACTGTACCTCATACTGTACGCCCCCGCACCGAGTTCCTGGCCAATGCCGGACAGACTGGCATCAAAGTCCTGGACCAGTCCGGACTCAATCACTTCATCCGTGAGAGGCAGTTTCAGAGCCCACGCCATGGTGACGGTGTGGAGATTTTAACGGAGTGCAGTTCCGGTTGAAACTCGAGGCAAACGTTATCAGTTTCTCACAGCCTTTCAAGATTTAGAAGAGAAAGTAAAAAAAGCGTGAGTGTGGCTCTGATGTTTAAAAAACAGTGGATATTTCTGTGTTTATTAGCAGGACATTCCCCCAAACATGTTAAAAACACGAACCATTCAGGTGTCATTAAGGAAAGCAGCGTTCCCGTGGTTAAAGATAACGGTAGTCGTTAACACACGTTTTATGTAACTGTGTATTGCTTACACACACAAACTTGTGTCACGCTAAAATACACTTTATGTCTTTACCTTTTTTTTTTATTCACATAGTAAGTAAGTCATTGGAACTGCAAAGCTTACCTTTAGGTGGGAAGTGTGACTATTTGGTAATAACTGCAAGTTTTACGCCATCATGTCACGCTCCTTCGCCCAAGCGCTAAAATAAACATGTCGAGCTAACACCTTAGCTGCGTAGCCTGCCAGTTCGTTCAGCTAGCAGGATGCTAGAAATCATTAAAACGTCCCGGGATGCTAGCCCTTCTCTAGCTTATTCTGTGGTTCGGTTTATTTGTGGTTAGCATATCTATACGTAAAAAGTGGTCAAAATCGCACGAGATGTTTAAATATATGTATTATAATGTCTTGCTTTTGTTTGTTTATCTAGCTTCCTCGGGAAAGGAGCTGCCGTAATTTCCGTTCCGTCTCCTTCTTTGTATCGTCTCAGAGTGCTAGCAAACACCGTTGTGACTCATTACCGCCACCCTCCGCTGAGGTCATGGCTGAAATAACCAATGACTGTTGTTTATAACGTGTTAATGACGACAAATAATGCTTTTCTTCTTTTACTTTTTTTCGGCAGCTCCCTTTACTGGGGCATTTTCCTTAAAATAAACCATATACAACAACCAGAATAAAACAAAATGTCATTTACCACACAAGACCATTCCACTCAGCTGGATTCCTAAATGACAAATATCCACAGGACATTTCATCCATCTTTATGGTCTAAAGATTTTCCTTTCACCAAGAATCTGTTTAATTACCATAGCACTGTCATAAACGACCTGATTGAATCCAATGGCTTGTGTAGTTTTCTTTAATTTAAAACATACAACCAGAGATGGGCAGTAACGCGTTACTTGTAAAGCGTTACTGTAATCCGATTACTTTTTTCAAGTAACGAGTAAAGTAAGGGATTACTATTGCAAAAACGGTAATTAGATTACTGTTACTTTCCCGTAGGAACGCTGCGTTACTAAAACCGTGATTTTTTTGCAAGAATGTCTCATGACAGTGACGTAAGCAAGTGCAACGTTTGTGACAACAGCTGTCTGCAGATCAACAGTGGATAATATATCGAGTGCGGAGAGAGTATGAGCGTGCAGCGTTTAAAGCGTGGAAGTACTGACCTTACTTTGAGTTTGATTCCATAAAAAGTGACAAAAACATTAGTGTCCGCTGTGCATGGGAAGAAAACTTCTTTTTACAGCGAAAATAACCCCCTAAACTCACAGAGAAACTCTCCGGATTCTTCCACTGACCGCCGCGGAACACCTGCACCAGGGTAAACCTCCGCCTACCCTACTCCTGCTTTACAGGTGAAAATAGAGCAAAAGGACTGCTAGTCTTTGACTTTATTTATTTTCTGCTGTGTTTTACTTGCATCTATTTGAAAGAGTGAGTGTAAACACACACAAAAAAATATATTTTATATGCTGGAATGTGCAGAAAATAGGTTTAAATATTAAACAAATTTCTTCCAGTCAGAGAATGTTGCATATAATTAAATTTTTGCTTGAAGCATAAAGTTAAAAGATTAAAACTAATAAAACAAGTTTTAAAAAGGGACCTCTCCATTTGATTACATTTTGTATGATGGATTATGTAGAAAAAGTAGAATTGGGCTGAAAGATCTATCGCTTTATCACCTATTCAGGTTGTAAATCGTGAAACTGAAGTAACTAAGTAACTAAGTAATTAATTACTTTTGAATATAAGTAATCAGTAAAGTAATGGGATTACTTTTTTGGTAATTAGTTACTGATTACTTTTTTCAAGTAACTTGACCAACACTGCATACAACACACATTATCAATTGAAAAGATGCCGGCAAATTGTTATCCAACAAACCATAAATTAGAGATTTATAATTCAGGTGGAATCTTACACCAAAGTCCCACATTGTTGTCCTGAACTCTGAAACAGTCCAATAAAATATGCTGTTGTGATTCCTCTTCACTGCAAATATGGCACTATAGCACACTTTTTAGCTGTCACATAACAACTCCAAGGCAAAGTAGCTGTCACCGGAAGTTTTCTGAGAGAGATCAACCACCTCCTCCACTCATCTCTCATCTCCTTGGATATCCTTTTGTTTTGAATTTTTTTGAGCTCTGCAGGATACCCATCACAAGTTTTTGTTTCTTTTTTTTTTCTCCATATTTAAAATCACTCACCAAATTAAAAATCATTTTACTTGACCAACCACACCAATAAATTCTGTCACAAAATCCCCAAGGATCCTTTTCTACTATGCGCCTCATTTCTTTTTCCATAAAGAAAGGTCTCCAACCAAGCAAGCTTTAAAACAAAAATCATTAATTAATTAATAATTAATTAAACTAATCAACAAAATTATTTTTAAAAGCGGGAATAAAGGTGGTCACATTCAGTTTGTCAACCTGTCCAACACAGCAAGAATATGTTTATTGAGGCTGTGAACAAAACCTTCACAGAGAATTAAGCTTCTATTGTAACATGTAATCTAAACTTCCTAAATTTTGCCCTTTGTTCATAGCATCCATGTTATACCCAAAAAACTAAAATTAATACATAAACTGATAGACTGTAACATCTACTGTAACTATCCATTTTCTGTTGTTCAGTCTGTGTCACAGGGATCCAAAGAAAACCTTTTTAAAAAATTGTATATCTCTGTTGAAAAGCACATTTCATCGTTCACGTTCAGCTACCTAGAAAGAATATGCACTGCTGAAAAAAATAAGGGAACGCGTCATTTTCACAGTATAACACAAATTCAGTTACATTTCAGCCATATAAGTCTGTCCAGAGAGTAAAAACCACTGTGAATCAATTTCACCAAAAGAAAGTCACAACAGGTCCTCTGGACAGACAACAACAAACCAACTCCCCAGAAAATAAATGGTTTAACAGGTGATCTGACCAGTGTCCTCACTGATTTTGGTCTAATTTTGCTTTTTGTCAGTGTCCTGTAGGTATTGTCTTGTTTCTGCAGCCTATTCAAGTTACACAGGTAGTCCAGCTCCTTTAGGATGACACAGCCATCTGTACCACCATAGGAAAGTTTGTAGTTTCCCATCATAGTCTGAAGAGTGTGGAGGACATAACTGGAAATGGGCCACTTCACAAGGACAGCTCAGGGCTGAATAAGCACATCAACCCAGCAGCAGGACTGGTATCTGTTCCTTTGGGTGAGGGGGAACAGGAGGAGAACTGCCAGAGCCCTACAAAATTACCTCTAGCAGGGTACTAAGATGTATTTTTCTAAGCAAACTGTCAAAAACACACTGAGTATGGCACAGAGGCCCAATATACTTCAGCGAGAACCTGTGCTATCAGCCTAGCACCATGCAGCTTAACTGGCATTCACTCAAGAACATCAAAACTCGCAGGTCCGCCACTGGTGCCCTGTTGTCGTTATAATTTAGAGCAAATTCACACTGACCACATGTAATACACATAATAAAGACTGGAGACACTGTACTGAATGTCATGAATTGTGGTATCAGGATGAAATCCTCAGGCCCACTGTCAGACCTTTTGCTGGTGGAGTGGGCCCCGGGCTCCTTCGGGTACAGGACAATGCTCAGCCTTCTGTGACCAGAGTGTGTGGGCAATTCTTGGAAGATGACTGGCCCACAATGTATATTAATAAAGACACTCTTTTTCTCCTTTTTTGAGTCATGTATATCAACAAACAACAATCAGTAAGTAATAAAGATGGGTTTATTTATTTGACAAAAAAAAATTATATATATAAAAAAAACACAACAGCTTCCAATTTTCTTTTTCCCTTATCCTCCAAAAACACAAAGCTTTATGTTTGTTGTTGAATCAAATTAATATAACTTTCATATTATTAATCTAATTTATCTTATTGGACAACTTATATTAATCAATATGATATATTGCCTTCCCTTTTTGATCACCAAGGGAAACAAAATCTTTGTAATATTTATTACTTTATGGTTAGGTACATGTCCACCGCAACAAAGGCCTTCATACCGTCATTCAAAAGGTAAATATTAGCTGGAACATAAAATGTATTATTCGTTTCACAAACTCATAACAGAATAATAATAGCCTTTATACTTTGCAGTATTTGACATTTTATCTGAATAAAAAGGAAGCGAATCTTAATAATAGATGTTGCTTGTCAGGTTGATGGCTGCACTGTTGCCAGTACTGCTACATTTTGCAAAGCTTCCTACTGTTCAAGCACATTAAAAAGCAAAGAGAATTCTTTCAAAATCAAAACTGAAACCTTGACGGTAGATTAACCATTCATAACCCTTCACTGTCACTAAAGTGCAAAGAATCCTTGAAACATCGGTACAGAAGGCGCCAACTGTTTTTCTTTGTTTTCTTCCAATCAGAAAGTAGCTTTATACTGCATGTGCAAAGTGTTCACTAAGCGCTTAGGCTGAATATCATAACGCACCAAACCACAAACTGCTTTCCTTCACTGAACAGTTAATTACACACTTTTTTTAAATTTACTTAATCAATTTGATTGACATTAGGCTTATTAAGAGTGCCCAAAAATGCTACTAATGTTTCAAACGGCATGACACCGCTTTAAATTGACTTCATGATAGACCAATTAAGCTCCCATTTTCCAAATATACTTAATCAAACTCAAGATGAAAAATGTAACAGTCAAAGCAATGAGCAAAGAGAAAGCAAAAGACACTCAGAGTAATATGAGCACCTAAAAGCCGAATGAAAAAAAGAGTAAAGAAAAAAAAGTTTAAAAATAGGTCAGTGTGTGAATTCATATAGAAATGTCATGAGCATTTGCACAATCAGTTAGTCACAAACAAACAAAGCGTCATGAAAAAAAAAAGACGTTTACACTTGTGGCACCATAGATGACTGCTATAATACTAGTTTGATAACTTAACTTGTTACCCATGGACATGGAGCAGCGTGACACACTTCACACAGGTGCAAAAAAGAAAAAAGAAAAAAAAAAACTTACATCCATTAAAGACAGGATGAGCACAGATTTTAAGCTCACCTTTATGATGAGCAACTAAATATATCAAAGTTATGATTGTCCCAAAACACAATCAGGAGTCTGTAACTTTTAGGGCTTATTGGACCTAATAAATCTGATGAAATTAATATTAATATAGTCTGTAAAGTCTTATAGAAAAAGAAGCTACTTTCAGCCTCTCCTTTACTCACAGGAGGTCACCTAAGCAAGTAGCTCCACGTGTTTGATTTGGATTTTTCATGCTGGATGCCCTCCCGATGCAACCCCAAAGAGATCTGTGTGTCCTCCTTGTGAGGACTCCAGATCTTTCTCCTGTTAGGCAAAATGTGTAAACCACTACTCTGCAGAGTCCTATGTCAGTCAGTCAACATTGCATTTATGTTCGCAGAGCTGCTCATGCAGGACAAATACTTTCTGGATATAAATTAATGCAGCTAGAAATTTCACATTATCCATTCTGACCCAAGCATATTCGTATTCAAACATCAAGCCATTGTCGCAGCGTGACATACATGTAACTAAACTCAATGTGACTTAATACATAACCACTTAACATAAGTCAGAGGGATAGCCTATAAAACCACTTGTATAAAAGTTCATGAACTGTTTTAAATATAACATGTTAATATCACTGTATAAGGTAAGAGGACCATGCAGTTTGACTTAGTATGCACCACACAAAAGTAGTGTAAACAAGTAGAACACAATTATACTTCAGTTTTAGCACTCTTTCAAAAGATCTTTGTAATTTCTTCATTTTCTCAAAAAGTTGCTATTCTTTCAGTCATATTTACAACACAATTCATTTCTGTGCTGCTGAATTACATGTTCAAATTCCCAAAAGGATAAAAGATCGGTTAGAAAATCTCCCAGAATGAGGTCACTACTGAACCTGGAAAACGTTGATCTTGCTTGTGTTTTTCAGTGTCTGTCTCCGGTTGCAGAACCATACACGCACAACCTCTCGGTCATAGTTTAGCTCTCTTGCAATCTCTGTAATCTCCTGTCCTGTTGGCAGAGCATTCTTCTCAAAGTAGGAGTTGAGCACTTCTATTGCCTGAGGTGTGAAACTAGTACGCCTCTTGCGTTTTTTGGAAGGTTCCCCACCGACAAACTCCATCAGATTTTGCTGGCCTTTCTGGTTCCAGTGCTCGGCTTCAGCCAGCCACTTTTCCAACACAGGCTTTAGTTTCTGAGCGCTTTTAGGGGTGATATCCAGCTTTTCAAACCTGCAAAAGAAAAGAAAGTTCAATCTGAACTTTTTCAGAGGGATTAGGGATGCAAGAAATGGCTCAGACATCATCTGAATGTGCATGCACAAACAAACCACTAAACTGCACATGCTCAAACTAATTAGTATCTCCAAATTAGAGGCCCTAACATGCATTGCCATTATTTCTCAGTGGGATATATATGTAAGCCTGATGATATGATACAGTAACATTTCAAAGACATTTGGCTGGTTTCAAATGAAAATAAATGGAGCCATCATCATTAATTATGTATTATATCAACCCCCTGCAACCCATCTGCTGTTATTGAGAATGTTAATTTTTATCCAATACACAAATTAATTACTGTGATCATCACATCAGTAATGGGAATACGTGGTATGTTACGCAGCTCCACGGTAAACCTGGATGCATGCTTAATGAGCTGTGCATAAGTCCAATTTATGCACAAACAGACCTGTGCCGAAGCAAATGCACAGGTATAATTCAGTTACCTGTAATAATGGCTTTAAGATTTGCAGGGTGTTTGTAGGTTTGTTTTTATTCATGTCACATTGGAGCGGTTAATCTTGCTGTGTGAATGATCCCTGTCATTGATTCAGCAGTGATATAAGGTGAAATAAAGTATTTTTACAGTACTCTACAGGGGTAAAATCCAGAGGTAATATATTTGAGGACAAATTAACAAAAGACTTAAAAGCCCTGGAGACAAATTTATGTTTAGGATTATGCCGACTGCAAGCCAAAAAGCCATTACTCAAACATGGCAGAAGAAAGAGTTGTAACTGACGCTGAGAACTGAATAAATGTAATGCATAATATACTGTGTACCTCTTAGCGAAGCTGGCTATTTATTGCAGACTGCAACCAGACAAATTTACTAGGTTCTTGATAACCTTGGTTGACTATATGTACAGTAGTGTTAAATCTACCCTCATTTTTTTATATTTTGTTAGTAAAATGGAAGAGAGGTCCATAAATTAATTTAAACATGTGCAAACAGACAATACGGGTGTAAAAAGAAAACCAAGAAAAATGAGTGTGAGTTGTAACGTTGTAATGTCCTGTTCTATTATATCAGAATATAATAGATATATCAGACTGCAGGACTCTCCATTAATATAATTAGTTTTCCTTATTTCTATAACAATAATTATAATACCAAATTATTATTACTATTGTTTTTTTCTTATTTAATGACTGTTGAAAAGCGCGTTGACAGATATACTTGCAACTTTCTAAACAATAAAGTGTGAGCATATATATTAAAAGCAAACTGCTTGTATGTAGTTAGAATATCAGGACTAATTTTACTAAGCGTCTTTGCTTTTCCCTTGTAGTTACATTTTCATTTCTCTTACATAAAAGACAGATGAGTGAGCTGCATAAAATGAAGGCTACAGATGAATTGCAATCACAAGAATTACAAAAAAGTAGAAGAAAAAAAGCATCTGCGTGGAGAGCAACAAAAACAGGAGGGTAATACCTGCAAATGGCAGACTGGCTGTAAGCTGGACCCTCAGTTGCAGTGAGAGCCTGCCCTACTTGTGTCTGAGTAAGCCCCAAGGACAGCCGACGGATCTTGAAATTCTTGGCAAACTCTCGAATTTCCTCCAGATTAATGCCCTCCTCTGTGCTGACTGCCTGCTGGGGTTCTACAATTCAGAAGAATCTGGTTAAAAATATCTACTTACTTAAAACAGATCAGTGGCTGGGAAGGAGAAGCAGGTGTACATACTGCTGACAAGCTGGCCCACTTTTGCTGTGTCTCCACAGGTGATGGGAACTGAGGGGGAGAGTGTGGTGGCGGTCTTTAGTACAGTTGGCTGTGGGGCAATGACAACCGGTGACTGGGTGACAGTTGTTACTGAAGCCTGGGAGGATTTTTAATAAAAATAATTGTTAGATTCAATGTGTTATAATCCAATTTTACAAAAACAAATCCCCAATATTTAAATGTTCAACAATATTTTAATTTGTCATAACCTCAAGCAGTACTTTTTGTTATTTCCTACCTGTGTGCAAGGTTTGGTAAGTGTTGGAGGAGCTGTGGTTTTAGGCAGAACTGCTGCAGAAGTTGCGACTGCAGCAGGACCATTCCCTACAGTGGCAATGATTTGTCCCTGTGTGTTAAAAAGCAGCTGTGGGGCCACAGTCTGGACCTGGAGACCCTGGAGCGGAAGCGTGGGAGTTGCAGCTCCTCCAGCCAGAGAGGCTGGATTCACTAAAAGTGGGAGTGTCCCTATGACCTAAAAACATTGTTAAAAATGAAATCCAAACAAACATTTAAATATAAACTTCTCAGCTGATTTTTACTTAAATCCGCTTTTAGGACATTCAGTATCCTGATATGTTCGTGTTTTTGCTACTGGGGAATAAGTACATCCTATTAGAGGTTCTGTCACAGAAGCCTTGTATTTTTCAATATTAAACACTACACAAGTCCAAAAGGCTGCAATAATGGTGGGAGTGAGTAATGAAACTATATAGAGGTCAAGCAGTTTCAGTTGAAATTGTCTGATGCTCTACTGCCTTGAAATAGCACTGTGAACTAATGTAAACTGGAGGCTGAATGCAATTTTTCCATAACAGACATGCATGAAAACAATATAATTGTCTTTGGAATGATTATAGTTCACTATGCATCATTTTAAAAGTTTTGCAAAAGTGTGAGCCACATTAAGTAAGTAAACAACACTGTCTGCCAATCCCTTATTTGTCTCATTTCTCTTTTTAATGGCGTCCAATATGTGCTCTAGTCTGCGTTTTGTCTAGCTCCTACTGCAAGGACAATGGTGTTGCTGCCAGGATTGCTTTCATTTTATTAAAGGCATTTTTCTGTTAGCTGAAACAATCAAGTAGAGAGAAGAAAGGCGGGTAACAGGATGAGAACAGGACAAGATCATTACTCAAATCTAAGCTCACTGACATAATATTATTACAGCAGCAGTATTTTATGGCACTCACCTGGCCCTGGGCATTTGTGATGATCTGACTGGTGATTCCAGCCATGCTGGACATGGCACTGTTAATGATGGGAGTGGATGTAAGGGAACTGAGGAACTGTGGTTGCGCTCCCAAGGAAGCAGCATTGATCTAGGCACAAAGATCATAACATGTTCATTGTGTATTTGAAAGATGACAAATGAAGAATGGTATGAACAGAGGAAGAGATTTCTTACAATAGCGGGGTTAATGGAGAGTCCTGCAGTCTGAAGTGCTGCCACTGACAAGTTGGACGGAGAGATGGTGTTGGTGGCAGTGGTCGTCTGGGCTGTTCCCACCTGAGCAACAGTAATCTGTGCACCGGTTACCTGCGGTGCCTGAGGTGTCACCTGCTGCATGGCTGCTTGCACCTGCTGAATGGGTGCTGACTGAGACTGGAACACCGCCTGTGCATTGGCTTGCAGCTGAGGCTGGACTGAGTTCAGGACAGTTGCAGCTGAGAAAGATATTATGCAACATTCTAATGTTCTGCAATGAAGTTTAGATAGATAGATAGATAGATAGATAGATAGATAGATAGATAGATAGATAGATAGATAGATAGATAGATAGATAGATAGATAGATAGATAGATAGATAGATAGATAGATAGATAGATAGATAGATAGATAGATAGATAGATAGATAGATAGATAGATAGATAGATAGATAGATAGATAGATAGAATAGAATACCAACAGTATAACAAGTAAGTTTGTGGAATTTCTGCCCACCTATATTCCATTATTATGTGCAAGTGGTATAACTGCAAAGATTGACAACCACAGCAGCTCAGCACAAAGTTGTAGGCAAGGTAAAGTTACAGTGTGCTGAAGCAAATAGTCAATATAGGTAGCCAGCTCTTTGCTGACTCAGTAACTAAAGACCTCCAAACTTCCTCTGACATTAACATCAGCATAGAAACTGTGCGCTTGGAGCATCCATGGCAGGTAGTGCAGTACTTTTGTACATATACAGTATGTTGTCAAGTCTACAGCTATACTAGCAGCTCTGTGTACTTAGTACAGTCCAATGTAGCAGCTAGTAATGGAAAGTCAAGCCAATGCAAAATTGCCTTTAAATCTGCAGTCTTTCTAGTGGTCAACAGAGGGCGACTGTGCTTGCAAAAATTCGTGTAGTTGCATAGGATTTTATGGGAAAACAGCCCTGTCATGATCTATGGCCTTGATTTAGACTTTCCTGATAAGTTTATGGCCTCGATCACCAGATACAAGTCTGTCTGAACACAGCAAGATTATCATTTTATAGATGACGTTCCAAAATAGAGTCAAAAAGGAGGATAGAGCAAAGTATGCTTAACTGTATCACTGACAAGTAGTTAACCAATGAGCATGCAGTTTCCACTGGTTTGCATCTTATCTGTATTTGTGATGACTACTTAAAAAAGAAAGAAGAAAGAAGAAAACTTTCAGCTTGATACTTCACAATCACACTACACTGACAAACAGGTGTCCATTTTCTATATACAGTCTACAGTAGCTCGCGTTAACATTTTTACTTGTTGTGGTTTCGTTTTTTGGGGTTAATTGTTTAGTGTTTACCACACCAATTTATAATAGCTGATGGAAAATCTGACCTGAAACATCAATTACACATTTACAAGTATAATAGGAGGACATAGATGTTTATGCCGTTTAGACAATTTACTTCATCAGATATATTAACTTAGTAATTTCGTTTTATTTCATTCAAAGAGGCTGAAATCACAGTATAGGTCATTACAGAGCATATTTCATTGAGCTGAAACTCAACAATTCCCTTTAAGCAAGCACTATTATTCTCATATCACAATCAAATGTACAAAAGGTCATAATAAAAAAAGCTGGTGAACATAATGATGTCTGCATTTGTTGTTGAATTTTTTAATTGTAATCTTGTCAACACAAATGCAGACATATTGAAGATATAGGAGGTCAAATAAAAGCAGACATTCACGTTGTTTTACCTTGAAAGCCAGCAAAGGGCAGTTTGAGGAGACTTCCAGCTGGGTTAGCCGCTGTGAAACCAGGGAGAGTAGCTACATTGGTGGTAGGAAGAGTGAGAACAGCCAAACCGCCCTGGCCACCGATGGAACCTGGCATGCTGAGAGGAATGAGCAGCGGCTGACCCAGTGACCCCGTCTGTGCCATCATACCAGTCATCAGAGTGGCTAGACTTTCCTGGGTCAGCACCTAGTGAAAGAAATTCCATCAACATTTATGCCTGAGAGGTATTCAATGTGCTTTCAGTGGACTATTTTGTCTCCTTATTATTTTTAATGTTGTGTTTTTACATAGTGAAACTAAACAGTCATACTTCGGTTACTGTGTGTGGACTGAAAACTCCACTATTAAGCTTTTTTTTTAAAAAAAAGCATGTTAGGGGTTTTACTTTTGACTGCTGAAATTGCTGAAAATGTTGTGCTAATAGCCTCAGGCTATGTGTTCAGCAACTTGGATTAAACTTTGCTCATCCTTTTTACTTTCACAGTGCACAATGGCATCGGTATACAACCTCACTAAATCACCTACAATGATTTTTTTTAATGTAATAATACTGACACTTGGCTCTCTGGTGCATTCGTTTTCTACAAGAATAATATGTAAAATGAGAAAAATCCAAATGGCTTTCCCACCCACTCTGAGCTCTTTCTACCGACCTTTAAAATCAGACAGCAAAACTACTTTGTTTCTCAGATGGTTAAATATGAATATGAGGTGGAGTGTGTGTGCATCTCAAAAAGTCAGACCTGTGGACAGCCTTGCACAGTGATGGGCATGGCGGCCTGGTGCTGGGGCAGAGACACGCTGATGGGAACAGCAGGGGTCAGAGTTTGGACTGTAGGAGCTGGAGGCTCCACAGACACCACCTGCTGCTCACCCAGCACTGCAGGAGAACAGCCAGAGTTGGTTATTAATTATATTTTAAGTTGTTGGTTTTTTTTAAATCACACAGATATTATTAGGAATTCACTGGATGACAATGATTTACCTACACCACCCCCTGTGCTCTGGGGCACTGTGGGGCTGTCCTGGGTGCTGCTGGCATCAGGTTGCTCTCCAGCTTCAGCCACGCCCTCATCAGTTTTGCATTCGCTCTTCCCATCAGCTGCTGAAGAGGCTGAAGACGCATCGACTTCTACTTCTAGCACTCGAATGGTTTCATGGCCAGACATCACAATGACCTGCACAGCGATCAGGATTTAAATCTAAGAGGACTCAAATGCAAAGAAGGCCTCTGCTTTTCTTTGAGTTTGTATTAAAAATGTAATAAAATAGTTATGTGCAATTATTTTATGAAACAACAGGAGATAATTCTCATCTGACCTAGCACCAGAGGGGTGTAAAACAAAAATTCTGTAAATTCAGTATTTCTCCACCTTGTCAATTCCCTCTGGAAGAACTTAGCTGATGACTCATGGTATGCAATAATGACAGACCTAGTGGAGGGGCAGCAAGACAACCTGGGCTGGAGGACAAGGTGCAGAGAGACAATGCAGGAAGAGAGAGGAGGATGCATACCTGGTTGTCTTTGGCAGGGAATTTCAAAGTGCAGGATTTAAATGGCTGAAAAAAGACTTCTGCAGTCAGACAGTGAATGGCTAAGGAGAACAGAGAAGCCGAGCACATGTTAGGACAAAATGAACCAAACAAAAAAACAAAAAAAAGAGACATAAATGAAAAGAGCATGAGTACACATAAACAATGATAAGAGCATCAGCCAACAAGCAGTTCAAGCAATGCTTTCTTCAAGGTTGCCTTTGTGCTTCCGTGAAGAGCATTGCTTTTGTTTGCTGACTATGTCTAGACACAATGTTACTAGAGAGAGAAAAACCACAATTAATTATTAAGCATGGCAATTCAAAGACTGTTTCCAACACAAGCATAGGTATTATTAGTCTATAAAACACAAAAGTGCATCGGGATCTCAGTGGTCGGCTGTGTGACTGTTAATCATTCCATTATGAAGTGGCACGATGGCGCATGGAGGGTGACAGGAGCAAACAGCAGCAAACAAGTCGAAGGCAAAGTTATGTTTAGTTAAGCTCACTGCAAGAGTAGGTTGGGAAGGGGGGGGGGGGGGGGGGGGGGGAGTCCACTGCTCCCTAACAAACACATGAGTGTTACCTGCTCATTGACAGTAAGTGGGGCATCTTTGGCAGGCAGATCCTGGGAGTTCATGGCTTGCTGCACCACCACAATCACTGTCTTCCTGGCATTCTGGGTTAACAAAAAAGAAAAAAAAGTGATTTAAAAAATGTAGAACCATTTTAGAAATTAAAATATGTATCAAGTTTCCCGGATAAGCCCACAGTGTCTGCACTTTAATGACAAACCCAGCTTAAACAGAACCAAATGCAGAGGACAGGGGTTTTTTTCTTTCTTTTCAATTCATTGCTATTATAGTCATTGCACGAGTAGACTATTTGAAAGGGGCCTGTAAACAGGCCATACTGTTTTGCACTTAAGCAGCAGAAAACGTGATCAAACACGCTGGTCGTTGGACGTTAAGTGGTTACGCGTCCACCACGGATCACAAAAAGACTCGAGACGGTGCGTTTCCTGCTGCAATGCCCCGTTAGATATGAGGATCTGTCAAAAACTTCAGCGGGTGTTGATGGGCTCCCCACCCCCATCCTGGCCAATAAAAGTCTCGCCGCGTCGGCCACTTTTGAGGACAAGCAGCAAGCACGGAGCACAGGCGACGGAAATCATCTCGATCCGTGCCAAGAGACCGAATATTATGTATTTCCCTCTCTTTATCATAAATATATAAATTATGCTAATTACGAACATTGCATATTAACCAAAACTCATTTCCTCTCGCCATTTCGCTGCTATGCGCGAAGCACAAGCCAGAATACGGTCCGGTTATTATATTCAACTTACCGCGTATATGCAGCTTATTTTCTGTAATCCCCGGCTCTTAAAAAGGTCCTTGTCACAGTTTGTTTCAGTCACACATAATTAAAAATTCATCTCAGCTCCCAGACAGGCGCTGTGACTGCACACAAAAGAGGTATTTGCATTGATAAGGAGGCTTGCAATGTTAGGATCTCCTGTCTCTTAATATTTAATGACGATGCCCTTTCTGCAACAGTTCAGATAATCAAAAATCCTTGAGGTGTCTCACAGAATCCTATTTGAGCTGTAAAGTCGGACAAAATTGCTACAAAATTGGCCTTTTGCACTACGTCATGAACATAATTTATGCAAGAAAAAATCTTGCATTGAAAAATGTCTGCCTCGACTTCAGAGGTGCCATGGTTCTCTTAAAGGGGAAGTAGCGCACACAAAGACGAGCAATGGAGACGCTTTCATGAAACACTGTGCCGATACGTTTCAATTTCCCAACACCGCTGTTTGTCTGTAATATCACGATATTCGCATCGTTTTTGCGTTTATGTGAACGAGAATTTAATTATTTAATATAACAGAAATAATTATGGAGACTTGTGGGCTTTCTTCTTAAAATGACGTAGATATGTTTTTTGTGGTTGCTTTATATGTGTTTCTCACTGGATTAAAACATTTCTGACTGATGATTGTCATAGCATATTTTTTAAATTGGAAGATAATATATAACCTTTGATCATGGTGTAGACAGTCGTGCTATTTTGAATAATCCCGTGTTAATTCTGAATGTGATACATAAGGAATGAATGTGTAGTTCTGAGATCAAAGGTCATCATTTAGTTGATGAATAAAATAGTTGACTCACACAAAACTAACCATTTTAATCATGTTAATTTTTTAGGTAACCCATCAGGATAAACAAATGCCGAAAATTAATATTTTTTATCGGCTTGGTTTGCCATCCCAATGATTTTCGGGAGTAATACTGACTGAGATTAATTGTATATATACACACATACTCAGAAGGCTAATCGGGACAGAGTGGAGACACCTGGGGAAAACAAGCTAAGGGTGCAGATAATCAAGATCACTAGACAGGGGAGGAAGTAAAACTCAAAATAATACCTAAAAGACAACTAAATATAAAAGTAAAACAGGATATAACTGATAAGAGTTCATTAGTAAGCAAGTTTTACACAAGACAGCTTGTGTAGAGTGTTTCATGTTTATGAGCTATTCATGTTCATAAACATGAACATGAATAATGTTCATGTTTATGAACATGAATAGCTGAAATGACCTTAACATAATTGATTTATTAATTTTTGTTGATTTGTTGATGTCTTTATCTGGACCAAATTGTATATGAGGATGCTGTATAGGACGTGCAAGAGTATATTAAGGACACACAAGAAAATAGCAATGATGGTGTTATAATATTGTATATTTCTGTTATATTTTACTGGCCCTAAAGTACATATGTCAAACCCAAGGTCCAGGGCCCTTTGCAAATTGTGCCCAGCAATAAATGTAGGTTAACCTGCATAAATGTCTATGTCCATATATTTTCTAATTAGAAGGCAGTTTACATGTGGTACATGTGAACTTCCCAAAGATTAGATTTATTTTTATTATTGTTGTGATTGATTAAACAATATAAAAACGAGGTAAATAGCATGAAATTCTGCTGATTTTTTTGAGGCCTTCATGCGGACCGAATTGTGTTTGATATTACTGTATGGGACATGCACCAGCATTATCCAGGATAATTTTATGGTAGGATTGATTGTATGGCAAGAGTGACTGATGGGTTCAAGGTCAGGGTAGGATTACATCAGGGATGTATCAGGGAAAATGGTTCATGTGTTTAACTACCTTGAGTCAACTATCCAAAACAATGCAGTGCAGTGCAGAGGTGAAGAAAAGAGTGCAGGTAGGGTGGAGTGGGTGGTTTGTAAGCTGCCAAGCAGGAGGAAAAGAGGAAGACCACAGCGGAGAGTCATAGATGTAGTGAAGCAGGACATTCAGAGGGTTGGTGTAACAGAGGAGGATGGCAGGGACATGGTGAGATGGGGGCAGATAAGGTGGTGTCCAGCTCGTACATCGAGTATCCCGAAGATGAAAAAGAAAAAGAAGCAACTAGGTATGCCTGACCCTTGATGTGAGCCCAACTTTATCAGTGTGGGCGTTATTAAAAGTAAATTTGACGCCCTCTGCCTTAAAACCAAGACAATCATTTTTCCTTCTAGCTGGCGGCTAACCTCTGCTCCATTTCTACCAGTAGGGGGCGCGGGCGTGCACGTAAAACCGTGCGTGCAACCGCAGATAGATAGAGAACGGGTGACGTCACCACTTCCACAACAACAAGAAGCTGAAAAACAAGGAAGTGGACGATTGTGTGAAGCCGTGACCTGAACTAAGGCCGTGAGAAGATACGCAGAGCTCCGTTTAACCTGATATTCTTCAGCCTCTGAATTATAACACGACAATGAACAACAAAGGTATTTCTCCAGACCTCGTTTAGGTAATTAGTCAGCTGTTCGCTATACGACGCTGACGTGATTAACTAGAGACGAAGAGCTGCCGTTATGGCTTTCCGAAGCGGACTTCACGTTTAGCCACGTACATAACAATAACCCGACGCTTCCTGGGTAACAGTGTGGCTCCTACTCTGAACCAAGGCGGCTATATTGTTAGTAGTGAAGCTGTTTACAGTGAAATCTTACATTTACTGTCTCTCTATATTCGTATACCATTAGTGGGCAGGTCACATGTTTTCTAGGCAGCTAATATCTCTGTAGACAGGCACATTTTAAAGGCACAGCTGACGTGACTCTTTCCTTCTCTTTTGTAGGACCCATCATATAAATATAATCGTGAGGCTCATTTTAGTAATATTTGTTTTCTTTTGTTGACAATTTACGTATTATATCCTCATATATTATTTGACTATTTTATTTAAACGCACTCATTTCTTTTGTCCCCAGTTTCGTTCGTATCTGTACATTTTAACTCTTTAGCTTTTTGATGGTTATGATTGTAGTTGACTAAAAAGATGTATCGGCCATCTGTATCGAGGAAATAATATGTAATTGTGTAATTTAAGAGGAGAACGATATCGACATCGGGGATAGGAGGATTTCTTTTTTTTTTTTCTTTGTCCGGAAAAGTTACGAAAATAACAACAACGATAAAAGCAAAATAAATAAATAAATTCCAGTCAGACTGGTTTTTATTTTCCGTGTCTGCGTTTGTATTGGCCTAGAGTTTCACAACAGACATACATAAAGTATTTTTAATTTGCCTATTATTGCCTTAGTTACATTTTCGGTTTAAGAAGAGCAGTAAGTATGAAAAAAAATATCCACCAGTCACACTTGTTAAGTTAAAACTGGAGAAGTGCAGTTCTTACTTTTAAATATTATTTTGCATATCAGAATTAATTAATTCCCTATTGATTTACTAATTGATCACTTGTAGTGTCCCCCCCCCTTTTTTTTTAATGGCGTTATTTTTTTTCCTTTTCTTATAATAGTAATAATAAAACAAATTTTACTTAACATAACTTGTGTAGCCAAGAAACCCTGAATCTTATTTTTTTTATATATTCATTTTTCTCCTGTGTACTGTGAGTTGTTATAATCTGCTCCCGAAGAAACAGTTTGTGGAGGGTTTGTTTTGTTTTTTGTGGTTTTCTGTGATTATGAATATGTAACTATTGCGGAAAAAATATATTTGGGGAAATTTACATCTTACTAATAGGCTCTCAGGAGCCATCTTCAAGTTCACTGGACAATGGACATTGACCCCATAAGCAAAATTGAATGTGTTGCATTCCTCTATTGTCCACATTTAAACAAAATGACATTTTTATTACAGTAGAAAATGTATTAAAATACCACTAGGCACGACAGAGGAATGTTTGGTCCCTAAGAGTTTTGTTCTTTCTTAATTATTTCCTTTAATGTAAAATCTTTTATTGCAGGTTCATATCCACAGCAGGCTGTGTACCCTCAGCAGAGCACTGCACCTGTATACCCTCCTGCTATGCAAATGTCTCCTCAGGCACCTCCTTACACAGACACACCACCTGCATATTCTGAGGTAACCAATCCGTATTTAAGTCAAATGATGAGCAGAGTTAAAACTCGCACTTACATTTATAAACAAAAGAAAAATCTGTTTTGTTCTCTGTGTCTCCAGATATACCAGCCCAGATATGTGCTTCCACCTCAGGTGCCTGGTCAGGTGCCTCAGATGTCCTCTCCCTATCCTGGTGCTCAGGTGTATATGCCCATGCAGCCACATATGCCAGTTGGGCCAGTGGGCCAGAATGTCCCCATGGCTTATTATCCAATGGGAGCAGTCTACCCGCATGGTTCAACTGTGATGGTGGAGAGCGGCTATGATGCTGGTGCTCGCTTCACGGCCGGCAGCAGTGTTTCCATCCCAGTGAGTGTCCATCCCAAGAAGTCATATCCACCTTAGATGAGATGCACTTTAAAATGAGGAACTCTTTAACTGTGTTTGTGCTTGTTTCTTTCCTTTGCTAGCCCCCACCTCCTGGACACCCCCCTAATGCCGCTCAGCTGGCTGCCATGCAAGGTGCCAATGTTGTAATGACACAGCGCAAGAATAACTTCTTCCTGGGTGGATCCAGTGGAGGTTATACCATCTGGTAACAGCAGCTCCTTCATGCCTAAACCATGTCCCCATCCCAGATGATGCCCCAGTTCTTCCCCATCCCATATGCCTCCCTCTTCAGGCTGCTTGGCCATGCCACAATACTGATATCACCTAACGGAATGTAATATTTTAGAGCCCTTGTGAAAGGTACAGTACTCCACTTCTGACCTAGAGATGAAATGATAAACTCCATTGCCTGAAGAGGACAAGTGAAAATTGTAATGTTACAGAATCCATTCCATAGTTCTTCATTGGGTCTAACCTCTTTGGTCATTCCAGATCTGACCTCTTTCAGGCATCTTTATTTGTCAACAAGATCTTCTCTTCTTTGATTGAATGGTCGCAAATTACACTGAGATGTTCTTGTACTCCTGTAAAAATACTTTAATGAAATATTGAAATATCAGACCCGCATAAATATAGTTTAGCTGCTTTATGGTGAAAGTGAAACGCAGTTACAAAGTTGCAGTAAAAAAGAAAAAAAAACATCCACTTGTCTTTTTTTGAAACTTTTAGTGTAGTTCAATTAATAGGTGTCTAGTAGTTCCATGTAAGTACCAGTATGATTATGAGAAATTACATCTCAACTATTTAAAAAAAAAAAAAAAAAGGAAGAAAAAAAAAAGTCAGCATCCTGGATGCTTTTAGCTAGAAATGTCTTGTCTTTTGCACAGTATCCAAAATACCACGGAAAATTTGTTGCACAGTGAACTTTCTGAGAGATTGTTCTATT